TTCATGAGAAGTGGGAAAATGTTACTGTTGCATGCTGTTCCCCTTCTCACTTACATCTTTGTACGCTCCACGATGGAAAAGTAGTCGTTGGAGCGAATGTAGCCTCCGTCTTCACTCACGTCTCCCCAGAAGGATGACCAGAACTTCCCTCGGCGGGTCATCATTGGGGCGATAACACTACGGTTTGCTGCCATCAAGTGTCTGAGGACATCGGGATCGGTGAACTGGACTGTGCCATCGACGTAGAAGAGGTAATCACAGGTCTCCTCCTTGAGGCATGAGGACCTGAAGTGGGTATAATTATGTGCCGATTAACGCATTGAAAACGTTTTAACTGTACTATCATGAAGGCCGTGTTCCACCTGCTGATTATGATCCCAGTTTTCGGCTAAATACAAGACCAGGAATATTTAATGATTTGCAAAAGTTAATGGAAGTGACTAAACATGATAGAGTGAAGCCCAATAATTCATACTCGGTACGGCAATACTATTATTTAAGGCGCTTGCATTTTGTCTGACGAATATTACTAATGTAGCCAGAAGCAGAATTCTACTAAAGAAACAACTGTTAGGTCTGTGTACGTCTTGCACCACTTACTGGATTATGCTAAGTTTTTATCTAATCCGAATTTCCACGGAGTTTCTATAAACCGTTTCTACACCGAGGCCACAAACCACATTAAGCCCTTAATAACGCTCGCGGAATCAGCCAGTAACATATGTATCGTTTTTTGTTTTTTTCCAAGAAGTTTTCCCCCAATATACATAGTGCATAGTTATTGGACGATTTAAACCTTCCAAAATGATGTACAAAATCTACGTGTTAACTGCTATATTCATACACAAAGTTGTCCTTTTTTGATGTTCGTTATTCAAATACCTTTTTATTTATTTAGGGTTGAATTTTGTTTATGTTCATATTATCAGGCTAAATTCCGTTGCCCTATATAGGCCATACAGAATACATCTGGGAGAAATTTATTTATTTTTTATGTTTTATAGTACACATTTCGCTGCTCCTCATTGGCGAGGTCTCACCCGTAAAACCCTTAGTATCACCATTTTTGTTGAAAATGATCCCGGGGTTAGGTGTGGCTAAGTCGGCTTAGATAACCTGCCTTTGCCGCAACTGAATCAATGTTTCAGCACAAGTGCACTTATGCAAGTTCACGCCCCCCTGACTAAAAAAGTGGGTGGGTTCCGACTGCACGTCATCTTAAGTTTAATGGTTTTACCCTAGTAAAAAATAGAAAATTCTGGGCCATGCGAACAGTATTTATGCATATACTTTAAGTAAAAGCGAAAGTTCTAGGCTTGTACTTTGGTCTGAGTTAATAATATTTTGGTTGAAACAGAATTACCGATTAAAATTATATTCTCCTGGGGCACCATTTTTAAGCGATCATCAATTCAAATTATTTTCCACTGACTTTTCTCTAGACAAATTCAACGTTAAAAATGTTTCTGCTCCATCACATATTGGAACTCCTGTTTCCATTTTTACCCGACCAAGCAGGCCGTTTTAACTACACAAAAGAGGCAGTGTGCAATATCTCAACAGACAAGTTAGTACATCAGACGTCCAATCAGAAGATATTCTTAGTTGGAATCTTATCGAGAATATGATTTGACATCCTAAAGAAGATTTCCTATCTAACTGGACGTCAACCGAAATCCTGAAAAAATGGTTTAGATTCGAATAATTTACTGAAATAAGGCTCTACTACTGATTAGGGTGCAGTCTAATCTCACGATATTTCAGTTACGTCAGGATGCCGACATTTGAATGAGCTTCTTTTTGGCCGCCTATAAAAAGTATACTCTGTAAAAAAACGGTAACCTAAGTAGTATGTATTTTTCAGTGATTTTCAATGTCTTATAAGCTTGTTCAAAGCCGGCGTACTACTGAAATATATTGAGATAATGCTGCACGCGAATTAGAAGTACAACCTTATCAAGGACTCGTTTCAGACGTTGACGGTTGACGTTTCATGAGATGGGGAATCTACTGTGGACCTCATCCATTTCCTCAGCAAATAAAAACATACGCTGCTTCAACGAATGCCGTCCTCTCGCTGTTGAATATTTTGGCATCAATAAGGTTCACGGATCGATAGGAAGATCCGTGTGTCGTCGTGAAATCATCTACAAACTTTTGCTGTTTTTCCACCTAAAGCATACGAAAACGGAAAAAAACAATCTTTTATTCCCTGCTAAGGAACAATTACACATAGTATATCAGCTCCATTGCTGTTTATGTCACATTCGGCTAATGAAAAAAAGATCGTTAGTGTGGCAAGCACATAAGTTTCAACGATCAGAAAGACCGTCGTAGCCAATGACAACGCAGCATTCGACAGGACCCTACCGAATAGAAGATAATTCGGAACTAATTTGGTGACGTAATTTCTAGACAGTATCAAGTATGAACAATAAGATAATAAGTAACTACAAATGAAAACAGAATTTCCACACTACCTTAGTGTACATTTAAAAATGAAGGCCAGCATATGCTTCTTGAGTATCCTTAGACGTTTTAAGGTAGACACCGCCACCAAGTCAAACGATTTTACGAGTAGGCCCAACGACAGCGACGGTATCACCACAGAGACTCATTTATGGAGTTTAGAAAGTCAAAAATACATCGAATAAGGAGAATCTTCTTGGTCCCAAATACGAAGAACGGTTATCTTCAGTCGACTGAAATATTAATACCGGCTTTTGCTCAGAGCTTGCCAGTTCCATTACGACAGATTAGTTTCAAGTAAGTGCGTTAATTTTTGACGAGAGTAAAAGACGGTAATTTAAAAACTGAACTATGTGCCGAAAAGCCACTGGATAATTCTGGAAGGACACAGTGAAATCAGAGTGTAATCCTTGACATCTACTCGGCGCAATTCGATCTCTAAAAAGGAAGAGTATCAACTCTAGCTGTTGTATTTCCTATCTCATACTGGTTCAGGAAATGCATACCTCATTTTTATAACTTCCATCAATATAGCCTTCCAATGGGAACGGTACTCACTAAAACTCTGTGTCTTATCTTCTCAGATAAAGGAAGGATACTTAGTTGCGCACAGTACAAGCCTTCCCGGTCACACTTAAGTTTTAGAAAAATAGGCAAGTGGTCACACCCTGAGACACTAGAATGGCAGGGCTAATTGTTAATCGGTTTTCCGTAAGCTAATTATGCCAGACCAACCCCTTCTAAGTCTGCTTTATGATAAGTGTGATAATCCCGGCCTGCAGCGACTGCTTAAACATCAATTAAACTGGGTCGATGTAGGGAGATGAATCTAATTAAACTAATTCCAAACGCGTTCCACTTTATCTGTTTTTTGGGCTAAAATAAAAGCATTCTGTTTTGAATGTCCAGACGGGATGCATCTTTTGGAGTTGGGGACTGTCTTTTTGTAGAATGTATCGTGACATGTCCGCAGTGCAACCTCATAGGTCTATTTCAAAAGCCTGAAAAGTCGGTCTTCTCAGTCGCTCTGTTATTTCAATCGTTGAGCAAACGCGGATACTAACTCCTTTAGGGGACACTGTGTGCGCTGAAGAATTTTCTATGTAATTTCAAACTACTACTGACGAGATATTTTGATGCCCCTTTGGAAATGCTATCTTTAAAAAACGATCTCCTAGTTTTTGTTCTATCTTTCATGGATGTTGGATAAACCTTCAAAAGGAAATAAACATTCGCCAGTATTATTTGGAGAGGCTTGGCATCTAAACTTCAATCGCGAGCATTTACTCAATCACAGCATTTACTGGGCCCATCGTCCTCTCAGTTAATAATGTTTTAGTAATAACATAGCTAAACCATTCCTCTTTAAAAGTGGCTCATGGATATCCTGGGACTTCTCTTAACCAAACAGAAGCATATTCTCTACATGAAAAACAGAAAAAAACGGAGTTACACTCGCGACTTACGAGGCAATGTGTAGTCAGATGCATACGATCTTTCGGATAGTTCAACTTGGCAATGCGCTCGAAAAAGACCTCCAGAAAGGGAATCGGCTGAGTGATGAAGATGGTCAGCTGAACTATTGGAAGTTCTGAATCCTAAATGGAAAGCATGACAAGGTTCACTTTCGGATTAACAAAAACGAGCTATTTTGAAATCGTTAATTGGCTGTTCCGATGAATTGGCTCGCTTCCAGTTTCAATGTTCACTGAACATGGCAGACACTTGCCAGTTGGCAAACTCATAAAGAAAACCTCGCGTCATCCCTCATAAACTAAAATGCAGATGGGTACGTGCCTGTATTATGTCAGAAGACTGAATACAAGAGTAATTTAACCAGTTTTGTTTGTTACCGAGCGTCCGAACCTAAATGGAATGGAGTTCGGTCAAGTGGGAAAGGAGAAGTTCACAAAATTCCGAGCACTTAAACTGCAAACCAGGTTAGAACCACGTTACAGTTTACTTAATTGTGATAGCTAATTTCCTGTGTGTCTCTCATGCTCAGGGCTGCATTCTACACGAAAGACTTGTCGCCGCACGTTCCGCTACTTATAACGACCCGTGAAACCCAAGCAACCATTTTTGCTTCTCTTTCCTGTTTCCCTAGATACGTGGATTTCTACTTAAACATGCAGTATCATGAAACTGGATGTCAGGCATAATGTCTTTGAATTCAATCCAGCTGGCACGAAAATGCAGACAAAGTGGAAATCGACGAACGTACCGCCACCTACCGGGGTTTTTGAAAGGTCCCGTGTCTCCTCACTGCAGATATGACAACCGCCTTCGGGAGACCATGCCCTCGCCAGGTAGTTACACAGAGAATTAAACTGAATCTGCAAAGGAAAAAGAATCAAGTTGCACACGGTGTTGAATGGTAAAATGACAGAAGGGCCGATGCTTTTAGTGGATGAAGACGGTAACGCCTTTTAAAACGCAAGTAATCCAAAGATTTTTGTGCAAATGTGTTAAAAGAGTTAACTTCCGGTATCCATGCGAGAAAAACTATCGTTCTGAGAAGGCAGACATAGTTCCGTGTCGCCCAGTATTTCTCCTGTTAACATCGCGCCTTAGGTCGGAAGACTACTTCGCTTTTTATATTTATGGATGGTTTATCCCTTGATAAGGTTTGTTTGAAAATGTGGGAAGACTGGCTTCAGAATCCACTTCATGAAGTTGTCTGCTAAGAACTCCTTTTCAATGAAATCGAGGTAAAGATTACTTCTATGGCAGCCTAAACATGACGCGGGAATAGGAACCCCCCACCAACTCAAAACAGGTAGCCTTGCAATCATTTTCAGGAAGGATAAATATTCCAGTACCCTAGCCCTAGCCGTAAGCCTAACCCAAAAGTAAACTCTGCCTTTATTTTCAACCTAACACTACCTTAAACCTAAATCATACAGTTAACACGAACGCAAACCTTAAACTTTGCCATATTCCTGACCCTACTAATCTTAACTGCAATCCTAAACCGAATCCTAAACTTCCCCCTAACTTTTAGCTTAACCCCAAATCTCAATTCTCTGGAAGTTGACGCAAAGCCACATATGCTGTAGACTGTTCCTGTGTCCTGCTTAGGCGGTCACACGAATCATCCCTGCCGACACTGATTCCGTGCACCCTTAATTCCTCGTTTAAGTCACAGTGGTAAATGAACCAGTCCACGGTCTTATCAAGGGCTGGGCAGGGGTTAAGGTCCCCTGATATAAGTGGACGGGCGAGCTTAGTGCAGTATTTTCAGTCAATGGTTAGTGACGGTCTCCCAACCTCCCGCAGCGGTTGGCTGGTAGTATCCTGCTGCCGGTTGCCCACTTACGGACAAAGTGCTACGTGGCAGTGCAACCCCACCAGACATGCACAACCGTCCCAGTGTGTAGTTGCGCTAACGCTACCGTATGTACCACGACTACAGGCACACAACAGTTTTTCTTTTGACTGCACCAGCGTAAATAAGCACGTCTGTTTGGCGGGAGAAAAAATGGGCAACTTTGCAGCAGGATGAGGGGAGGAAAGAAATGCGTCTGGAAAAGTTGACACAGGTAGCTCCCCAGTAATCAACAACTTCTGCCCCTTCCCACCACCACCACAACCATTCTAATTTTACCGGTCGCTAACTGTGTTCCCTGCTAGCCTTAAGAGCATTGTTGTGTATGGATTACAAGCGTAGTCCCCAGCCATGAGGTGATCCTTTATTCTTTTGGACAGGCGCCGACTCGTGCGACCAATACAACCTGCTCCACAGGAGCAAGTAAAGG